GGGGCACCTGGCCCCCGCCGCTGTTTCGGCTGGCCGGTACAGACCCGGCCGGGCTCCTCCTGTCCCCAGCAGCACGTGGGGAGCCAGCTTCAGCCGCATGCTGCTCCGGATGGGACAGACCCGGCCGGGTCAGCACCACCCAGGAAAAGCAGCATGCAGCTGAAGCCGCCCTTCCGCGGTCCTCACCACGTCTCCCGCTGCACTGCCCCTGCTGGGCTCCGGGATCCCCCAGCGGGTCAGAGCCCGCCCCCGCCCCAGCAAGGTTTCTCGCAGCTCCATGCCCGGCGCGGTGGTGGCTGTGGGGCTGGGCCGCAGAAGAGCCTGGCACGGTCAGCTGTGGAGCGGAAGCCCATGGCCCCGGGGACATGCTGCTCACTCAGCGTCAGTTCAGCGCCAAGAGGCGCCCTAACCCCTTGGGCCAAATCCTGCTCCGCTTACAGGCGCGGGGCCTGAGCGCCTCTGCGGGCCCTTGCACGGACTCTGGGCTCCACAAGCACGGCCGCACTTCCCTTCTGCGCCGGAATGCTCAGGCATTTGCATGGTGCCAGGTGCGGCCCCGAAACTTTAGCTAAAGGAAAACTACGGCTAGCCGTGGTTTGGTGGGGTGGGGACAGGCCTTCCCCAATAGTCTCTAGCAGTGAGAAAGTTTCTTCAGGGGGCAGAGATCCACCAGACCCTGCAGCCCCTCCTTGACGTTGGAAGTGCTTACCAAAAGGGAGAAGAGTTTCTGGCAGGAAAGGTGGTGGAGTGAAATAGATGTTTCCCTGGAAGGATTCGATATATGTTGTTGGGTAAAATGAATGAATTGCAGTGGGATGCCCAGACATTGCACAGCCAGAAATAATGCTAATGTCTTCACTGGGACTCTAAAGCCCAGGGCAACTGGACTGATGGACTGTGACATTAATGGCTCTATGACGCTTGCATATTATCTGAGAACTTCAGCTTACTTGCTGAGATCCAGGAAATGAGTCATTTAGAAGGAGAGTTTTGAACTGGTTAGACCCATTTCATTGTCACTTCCTATAACTTCATTGGTGTCAAAGGTCACATGACATCACTTCCTGATATGATACCACTCCCCGTGAGGTCTTTGAATATGGCTCGCCAGCTCACTGGGTGATAAAAAGTTTGTGATCCAGCCCCACATTCAAAAAGGTTGGACATCCCTGATTTAGAGTAATTTTCACTGGAAAAAAGTTTAGTAATTACTTTACTGAAATCAGTTTTAGCCTACTCCTTTTTACAACCCTGAAATGCTGCGATGAAACAAATGGGATCCAAATTTCATGTATTTGAATGTAGAATTAAATGAGTGTTTAAAGTGTTTGTTTACTAGTACCTAGTTTTCTTAAATTAATATGTATATAATAAAGGGATAATGAACTACTAAGCCAACCATAAAAATTCCCACAAAGGAGTAGCTACTCCTGATACTATTTCAAATGAAACCTAAACATATAATGTTCCTTTCTAAAACTTTGACTAAATAGGTTGCATTGAAATAGGTACTGTCATGAAAAAGCTATTATATTTTCATAAGTCAAGTCAATTAGTGGCTAATGGTCACGATACCTGATGAACTGCAGTTTTACTAATTACGTCTACATGAAATGTTTCTGAGAGTAATAAACCTCTTTTCCCCATCTGGAAGAGTCCAAGGGTCTGTTAACTCCTTTACTGCAGTTATTTACTATGTAGACAGACCTTATGCTATTTACAAATGAAAAGGTCTCTTATTAATTACCATTGCCCACTATTTTAGGCAAGTTGCCAGTAGATCTGTACTACTGTCTATTAATCTGACCCCCTGCCTTATTGAAAAATTGCAATCTACGGATCAGATTAGGTTTCAAAGTTAATTTTTTTCTTAGTGAAGCTTCTTGATTTCCACTGAAGGGATGACTTTAAAATCCCAATTTTCCTAGCAGGGCCAAGGAAAGAGGATTTTCAGGTTCCAAAGCTGAATGGAATTTTTACTACCAGAGCTACAACTGGGTGTTAGGGCCACTGGAGATGAGCCCGAATATCACCAGCCCATAAGTTCAGAATTCCATTGCACCAATTTAAGGTTTCATTTTCATATTAGATTCTATCAGCGCCTTAGTAAACATTTCAGAATTAGTTGAGATAATGCTCTCCCAATCTCTCAGTGATTTGTACTGAGCTTGTTTAAGCCTTCTACCGTAGTCAAGGTTTGTTTTAAAAGTCTCATCTTACCTTTACCATGTGTAGGCTGAGCAGTAGTCCTTACACTCCAAGGAAAATTGGAGTATTCTTACAAGACTGTCCCCAGGAGTCTAAGCAACTACCGACCACATGTGAATTAGTATGGATTCTATAGGCTAGTTATAAAAGTTGTCTGGAAGTATACTGGAATGAGTGACTGCTACCATTTCACTAAATACAGATTTGACTCTGGAGACACGTTTCCCCCTCTCCCCCCCACTTACAGACCAAAAGCCTTGTTTCTGGTCATATCAAAAGACCTGCCTTTCAATACACTGCACTGTGATCAGTATACTTTAATTATGTGGCCGAGTCAACACCTTCCCCATTTCAGAAAGGCAAAGCAAAAAAGATGATTCCCACAGCCAGCCTAAGAGGTACAGACCATTAGTATAATAGCCCCAGAGCCCTTTCTTTTCAGCAGCAGAAGCTACGGGTAGAGTAGGGTTCTGGATGAGAAGCATCTTAGCTTCCGATTCATCTCTTTTAGCACATGTGTATAATGAAGAGAGGGAGCTACAACATGGCCTCACTGCTCCCATGTAGTCTTTTGTGCAAGGTATCCAAAAGAGGAATTTCCACCCTAGCGGGAGTGATCATAATGATTTTCGTTCTAAAGAAGTTTTCCCCTAACCACATCATGACGAGAGGCAGAGGATACCAAGTGCAAAGTTTTATTGAGATTGACTTCTAATTAATACTGTAGAATTATAAATTAGTGTTATAAATCGTACTAAAACAAAAAGAAAGTCTTTAATCCAATATCCAATGCCAGGTCAAAAGCCTAAAGTCAAATCCATAGTACAAAAACTGACAAAAAAGTGCAGAGTGCAAAATACAAGAAGGCTCAAGGTAAGAGAGTCAGGCCATGGGATCAGACAATGTATTTAAAGCTGTAAGTATTGTCACAGGATAATCTCTTGCCTTTGCAACGGCCACATAGTTCTTGGCGGTGGGGTCTCTTGAGGTCAATATGTCTTTTCTTCTGTGGGCAGGAGCAATGAGTCTTTGAACAGGTCTTGGTTGGAAGGAAGAGGACAACAGTTTGTTAGAAAGCAA